CGTAGCTGATTTAAAAGAATATAATGCAGCTCTTGAACTTAGTCGTATCTGGATTAATAATCGCTGGCTAACTATAGCACTTTTTTTATCAGGTAACCGTTTAACATATTGTAGTAAATATTGGAAAATTGAACACCTACATGAAAATTGTAAAATGAGCTATCAACAATGTCGAATCTGTCTAGAAGAAGTATCTAAAAAGGAAGTGCTCATCTGTATAAATGTATCCAAATGTGCCCAATGTGAAGGTGAACATCACTATCTACACGGCCAATGTCATGTCATACAACAATATCGTGCTGATCTAAAAGAAGATGTTACTAAAGCCTTGAAATCCGGAAAACTACGTCGACACGAAAGTATTACTCGACAACCGACTTTTAGTATGAAACAGAGATGCCGGATCGGTAAGGTTACCATTGGAGCCCATCGGTTGGGCCACCCATGGATGAACCCTTACCCAAACCAGTGGGCTGAGCAGGCGAGTTAAAAAATTAAAAACCTAACTCAGGCTTGGAAGCTTTAAGATAAAATTTCCCAGTTAGCCGAAGGGTTATACTTGGGTGGACCTATGCAATAATTCACATTTTTAAGAAATGATTAACGAAATCTTTGTTAATTTGCACCATGACGACATCGATATAACTAATCGAGTCCTAGTTCAATGAGAAAATTTTCAAAGAAATCACCAAAATGTTCTAAAATGTTGAATACTTTATCGCGATCAACTTAGCCGAGCATTATAATCTTCATTTACGTTTACTTGGTCTTTGGTAATTTATGAAGCTTTTTCAGGACTTCTTCTAGACAGATTCGACATTGTTGCTAGCTCATTTTACAATTTTCGTTAGTGAGGTGGGTAGACAAACGTCTGAAGCTAGGATTAAATAATAAAGAAGACTATATCGCGTTAGTAACAACAGTTCAAAAATACCAATTGAAGTTATTAAGCTTAAATATATACAAGACTGCTTTGCTCTGGTGGTATGATATGTACCACGTGAAATAGAGTCTGAATCAGCTGCGGAAGAAATTAAACGTACAATTACATCAGTCGATAATATAAAACAAATCAATAATGCATATGAACGAAAGTCAAATGATTT